TATGTCATTGTTTTAAACTTTCAAAAGAAATTGCTATATAGAGGAATGACATACTTAAAAAATCCAACAATTAAACACACAACTGGTAATATGCATCCCCCTTTTTTACGTTATCTATACATGTATTCTGTGTAGAATGTTTTTTTATTCGGGGGTGTTCATATACTACAAGTTTAAGATTGCGTACCTGTCAATTTATCTACATGTATAATATTCGTTATACATATTCTTGAAAGTCTAGCGGAATTTTAAAAGAATCTTTTTTTTAAAAAGAATACTCGTTACTCCTCCTTTTGTATTTATAATGTGTTTCAAGCATCCAAGCATTGAGCTGTTCTCTAATGAATATTAATGAAATGTGCGCAATGAGGATGATTTCCATATTATGTCGATGTTGTATTCTCATTCGTGCAGTTTTCTTTTTTACGTTTGTGTAATTTCCTCACTATATCGTGTAAATATTTTGTTGATTGTGCAGTTTTTCTATAGTTTGTGTAAATTTTAATAACTTCGTGTATATTTTCCTCACTTTGTGTAATTTTTTACTTACTCGTGTGATTTTTGTTTAAGGTCGTGCAGAAAATTATTTTGAAGCAATCGGCGTGCCATACTCGCTCCGTGATCGGAAAGTCGTAAAATCACAAAATTTTTCAAACATCGATACATTTGTAGTATCAAAACATTTGACTTTTCTACCCTTTATATATCCATTTCTCATGATAAATTCAGGAGCAGGCTTATTTGACATCATAGTCAACCGCTTCCCCAGCTGCTGCCTCAATGAAAATGGAACTTCATATCTTATTCTTCGAATATAAATAAAGATCCGCTATTAAAGGAGATTCCAAAAGTGTGTCGGAAGACCTGGACTCCACAGACTACATAGATGTTGTCAATGAGGAACTCCAGCATCCTTTTAATATCAACTTCAGAGAACTTGTGTGTAGAATTACCGGTAGATTGATTTTTAACAAAGCAATTTTGTTGATGACCAGTCACAAGAAATTTCCGACTTCCATTTTTATTGAAGAAGCAGTTGTCTATGACATCAAAAAGCCTAGTTTTAATTCATCGTGAGGAATTGTTATATGGGTGAATTAAAAAAAATGACCACCAAACTGAATTTTTTTTTTTGAAAAATTCAACTACTTATTACATATTTTCAATTATATCATCAAATTGTACATGCATTCTTGTTTAAAATCCTGAAGTGGCAATATAATAGACAATTGGATAAAAAAGTTTCAGAATTTTTATTAGTAAAATTTCTTTTGAAAAAAGAAAATATTATTACACCTTTAAAGACTTTCTAAAATACATAATCACAAGAAATTATAGCTTTTTTATGCTTCAAAATGGTAAAAGGGGTATAAATGATTAAATCTTGACCTTGATTGAGTATCTTCTCTTGTATATGTGACAAAAAATTGGCATTTTAATTGTAATTTTACATTATTTTTTCAATTCTGGTTTGAAAAGTTTTAATATGAAAAAAATATGAAGCAATAAAATTCCCAAAATTCACTTTTTATCCGTTCAAATCAATTCTTTAAATCTAAAAGAATTTTTATATACGAGTTCTCTTACAAAAAATACTAGATTTTGAAGTGACCCTATGTTACATTATTGTGTTGCATTCCTGACATCTGATATGTGTTTTATTTAACATTGTTTTAAAAATTATAACACACAATAACCCATTCTTTCTTTGAAAACCAATTTGTCGTTTTGATATTTTTCATCGTTTACGGCAGGTTTTTCATATTTTGAAGACCTTAAAACATGATTATTTGCAAAGTGTAATATATATAAATTGTATTTAAAAATATATGTGAAATGATGAAAACTATTCCCTGAGTTGAGTGTAAAATTTCTGTACTTTGTTGATAGACATAGAGTTTTGAACATCAAAAAGTATCAAACATTTTTTTTCAACTTATTTTTTAGTATAGATAGTTAAAAAGTATTGGTAATTATAAAGCAGTTTTGTTGCACTCCTGACTGCGGTAAAATTTAAAATTAAAACCATATAACACAAAAATTCATAAAAAGTTGGCAACATCAAGTGGTAATGAAATTGTGCAATATTTATAGTCCAACACTTCATAATTAAAAGAGATGAAAGTATTTAAAATTCGCATTTTATCTGGAATTATTCCCTATTTATGCCAAAAAACTGGCTTAAATGTATATTTAGAAGATAAAATATATTTCATAGCATATTTTCCTTTAGAGGACAAACACAGTAACCCACCAGAAATATTCTACTCATCATTTTTTCTTTATTTTTATTCTTAGTGGATGATTTATAATTCTAACATATTTGTTGCACTCCTGACCAAAAGCATTGGGACCTTTAAAGTAGAATTGTGAAGTGAAAATTACAGAAGAACTTGTTCTGTTGTTTCAGTGAAGATGAGGAGGATTTACTTGAATTTTATGACATTTTTAGTGTGTTTATTTTTAACGTTTATTAAAAAAATCACAAAAAGATAAAATCACATCTGAATTGATAAAATTGAAAAAGGAAGGATTTTAATAATAAAACTGTCAATAATTTAGTTATTAAATTATACAAAAAGATCATTATTAATCAATGAATACTTCTAAGCGTGAATAGAAGTGTTTTCGTCACACAACTTGAATCTTTAAAAAAATGTGTTGCACTCCTGACCATAGAAATATAGATCTGAAGCACAGTCAGATCCTGTAATTGATAAATCTATTTGGTAAAAATGTTATTTGTGTCTTTATTTTCCAAAATAAAAATCAGAAAATCATGTGATGATGATAGCTTTTTTCATGCTTGGGTACAAAAAATCAAATGTTGCACTCCTGACATTATTGGGTATGCACATATACTTGACTCTCATTAATACTGCTTGTGATTTATATAAAATTTTTAAGTTTTAAAATGTATATCGGTTATTGTTTTACACTTCGAAAATTCTTTTTTGTCTTAATTTTCTTTCAGAATTTTACAAATGATGTTTTTTGGCAAAACTACATTTTTTCTGTTACACTCCTGACATGGTATAACATTTTTTTAAACTTCAGCCATGCATGACCTCAACTTGATTAAACAAAAGTTACTACAGTCCACATTTAAATTATCAGGAAAGTCTTTATTTTCAACAGAAATCATTATTATTTATTTCACAGATCTAAAATAAATTGAAATTTCAAAATATCACAAAAAGGTGTTGCACTCCTGACAATTTTGGCATCATTTTTGGGCATAACTCTTTTGTTAATTGAGATATCAACGAGATATTTGGCAGGTATTTAGACACTATCTAGAACATATGCTGAGGCGTAGAAATCTTTTTTCATTGCCTGTATTTTTAGTGTGGGTTGATAAATATGCGTTTAGTCATATGTTTTCTTATTCACCCATGTAAAAGTTCATATGTTTGATGTTACCAACTTTTGAACAAAATTTGAATTTAAAATTTTCTAACAGTTCGTTGCAGTTTTCGAGAATTAATCCACATCTGTTTTATACCACTTCTACAATTTGCTGTAGCACAGTACATCTGAAGTTTCTTCTTTACAGCAGTTATTACTTTTATGAGAAATAACGACAGGGGCTTGGTACAACATTTCCTGGACCAAGCAATGTATATTTGTTTTGCAAGGATATTACGACGTTTAGGAATCCGGTATAGGTAGAGTAGATCGATGTCACCTTCCTTGACTGGAATGTTGAAAGTACTAAAGACTGAAATGTGATTTTGAAGAATTTCCTTCTTAGAAGGCGATCGAACTGAAAGTATAAGTAGGATTTCCAGATGTAGAAATAAAATCAGGTTCTTCTAAAGTTATGATAATGAACCTTACAAAGACGATATTGTTACAAGCCTTCTCTGATGGAACCACGGCATATTTCTCACGTAGTCTTTTTTATCACCTCCGATCTAGTAAAAACGGAAGGATAAATAGATAGATTCTTTAATATATTTCTAGAACACTTAATCATTCTGACAAAGTGTTCATGTGTAAAGACGAATAATGATCCCAGAAGAAAAATGACCGGGATCATATTTCAACCTCTAGAAACGACTCTTGGCATTATTCAACGTCGAAAAATGACCTTTCTGCCTTTAGAAAAAGTGGCATTACCCTTAAAATCCAAGCCCTCTGCAAGATCATTCGTGGATAAATTTTTTCATTTATCATTTGTTTCCATGACAACGGTGGTCATTTTAAAAATCAAAATGTTTACAATTGTGATGGGTTTCAATACAGAATTTTGATTCAGAGACAATGTTGAGATGAAAATAGTGTTAACATATTGTGTTTCAGGCTTGCTGACTTCATATTGTTTTTATTTTCTCTTCAATAAGTTCATCTTAGGAAAATATTTCCAAATGTAAATATTTCGCCATTAACCATATTAACTTCAATTGACGTACGTCATCATTCTCACGTCTACCTCCCCGTTTGTGAGCAGGCGCATGTTCAGACAGCCTGGCTAACGGAAGAGGAATTAATAAACATATTCTACTTAACTATCCGCTGAAAATGTTCACATCCTAAATTTCTGTTATTTAAAATGCCCTTTTAATGTTTCGCTTAAATGTCCACTTGTCCTGTCTCTAATCCGCTAATTAAAATGTCCAATGCCGTCTTTTCTTTACTTGAGGGTTGTCTCTCGTGGATAATTTGTATAATTTGTATATAATTTTAATTAGTAGCATTCTCACAACGTCAGGAGTCCAGAGTCTAGACGTTGTCGTGTCAAACGGCAACGTGTTGACTCTGGACCCCTAACATAGAACTAGATACAGTTTAGCTGGGGTGCTTTAATGATCTTTTGCGAAATCTCCGAGAGAGATTTATTAAACTATTTTTCTTCTCATATTTCCCTTCTTCAATTTAATATAATTTTCTCTGATCTGTACTCGTTTACCATGTTTACTTTTATCAATTTTATGTTTACATAGTGAGCAACTGGGAAAGGATTTGTTTACTTAAAACTGAAAGAAGAGTAAATGTTAGAACTGGATACTGATCCACATTACCGGATCGACTTTGGCCGGGTCACAACAAAGGATCATGCTTTTTAGAATCCTCTTTGGAATTGCATTGGCAGTGTCCACTACTTTTATTTTGAAAATGATGTAAGTATCAGATATGTATTACCCAGGTAGATTTTTCCCCCATATCTACGTACACACGCTTTCTTATTATCGATCCAAACATTAGAACTATAGTGCTCTTCAGTGCATTTTAATTTGTTAGCCCAATAGCAGGATACAAGGGAATCTTGCTTACTTTCAATGACGCGGTTAACAATCTATCAGGACTATGCAATAAAGTAATAACTTCATGTTACGTTTTAAATATTGAATGCACCATTGTGTCAACAACGCCATAATTAGATTTCAGTCGTGTCAGTAGTATTTGTTTTACTGGTATTGATATGAATTTTTTTCCAGCCTGTACATGGACTATCACAAAACCCTGTGGAATCACAGACCTGGGAAATGTTACATTGTAGAAGGAATAGGTATCAAGTTATGGATGATTGACACAGCTGATCTCATTTAAATAATCAATCGTAAATACTGTGTGCTATACTTATTTCTTTATCTCAATTCTTACACCACTTCCACTTGCATTTATTCTATGGCAAACCAAATTCACCAAAATGAACTAAACAGAATTTTACAGTTGATAAACTTGTAGGTTTATCAACTGTGAACGAAAATTACAAAACGTTAATTACATATAGATTAACATATCTATAGTCAACCTTTTGTAAACTTCATTAAAAGTATAATTTGCAATTGATAAACCTGGTTAATCAACTGTAAAACTATATATAGATCAATTTGATAAATGTGGAATGCTAGTATATACATCTTTGAGCATGTTTTTTAAAGCCTTTATGAACTGCCCTTGTAGACTATGGTTCTGAAGATATGCAGACCACCAAGTCTGGTTTAACTTTCATCACCTCTGTAAGTTTTCATTTTCAATAAGATGTGAAAATAATTCTTTTGAACTTCTTTACATAATATATTTGTCTTGGTATGTGAATAAAATAAAGTCCAAATTTAAATAAAAAACTCAAACTGTAATCCATTGCGCTTTATGTTAGTAATTTTCAAATGGATAAAATTTAAATTTGGAATACATACATACATACATACATACATACATACATACATACATACATACAGACAGACAGACAGACAGACAGACAGATAGATAGATAGATAGATAGATAGATAGATAGATATAATCTCCAATTTTGAAGGGAGTGAATGGAGTACTCTTTGGGCCAAGCTTTAAAGAATATTACAAGAAGCACAATATAAGAGGGAGAATTATGTTGTTTAACATGGAGAAACCAGAGGATGGGGTCAAAGAATTGATGATTACTGGAAACAAGTTCAGTTATGACGACTTCTATCCTCATGGAATCAGTGTGCTAGAGGACAAAGGTAGCTTTAAAAGTTGCATTTGCTGTAGATATTTGTAAAATATATTGTTTTACCTAGGAATTAGACATGTGCATAATATTTATTCAGATAACAAAATGGTGCACAATAATGAAAAAAAAAACTTTAAATATCCCAGATAATTGAATGAATGTATATTTTCCCCAGGTCTGAATAAATCATCTTATTGCAGCTTAGAGACGATAGCTTTTATCTAAACAGAATTTCATTTTGTAATTATTTTTTAATGAAAAAAAAAATGTGTATTTATTTCCCTGTATTATTTTTGTCCATCACGTCAGGTAAAGTTTACCTGTTTGTTGTGGTTCATCGACGTGATCAAGACACGGTAGAGAAGTTTGAATTTCTGGAGAAGACTTTAGAACTGAAGCACCTGAAAACTTATAATGGAACTTTGCTTCACCAGTATGTTTATAAATTACATTTGTTTCCACATTTTTCAGCATTGACGATTGAAATTTGCTACAAATAATGGCCCCTGGACCTTTTTCAAAATTGAGCTAGATTTATGAATTTGGTATCCTTTACCTAACTTTTCAGACTTAATGATGTGGTAGCAACAGGACCAGAAACCTTTTACACAACAGATTATTTGTATTATCGTGATTCAAGATTTGTCCTAGAAACAGTTTTTGGACTTCACTTTGGACATATTTTATACTATAATGGCAACGATTTTATCATTGCTTCAGAACCTACATATACGGCCAATGGGTTTGCCCTCTCCAAGAGTGGGAAGTAAGTGTAAATAAAGTCTTTTCTAGACATTTTGTTGTTTCTATGAAGGAGTGAAACTCATATTCATTATTTTGCCTTTATTGTAGACTTCTGTATGTTGTCTCCAGTGGTGGTAAGAAGGTGATGATATTTAAAATAGAGTCCAATAATAGACTTACGAAAGTCAATGTAAGTGAAATTGTCATCATTACCTTCGATTTATAAAACAAGTGATTCTTGACTACGAATAAAATGACTTTTTATGCCCATTTTGTTCTTTAATGCAAAGATGGCATTTCACAACAATGGATGTAGTCATCACTTAATCGGTTAAGTTAATAGAACTTTTTTTTGTAAACTCAATATATAACATATGAATACTAATAAGATGCTAATTAAAAGGGATACTTTTACTTTAAACTTTCATTTTACCACATACTTTTGAAGGAAATTCCACTTGATACCGTACCAGACAACTTAGTGGTGGATCCAAAAACGGGAGATTTGTTGCTGGGCTGCCACCCAATAGTATTTAAAACTGCTCAACATCTCGATAATCCAGTTGAACCAGCAGCCTCACAGGTAATATGCGTTCATGATTATACTTCCGTAACTTACACATGTACTTAGACAGTTACTTGCACAGGTAGGAGGTAAGAGAGTATAATTCAGTATCATACTTACTTACATGGGTAAGAGGTATCCATGATTATTATTCAGTAACTTGATTACTTACGCAGATAAGAGGTGTCCATGATTATAATTCAGTAACTTACTTACAAAGGTAAGAAGTGTCATTCATTTTGTTACTTACTTAAAGAGGTGAAATATGGCCGTGATCATAATTATGTAACTTCCTTACCTACAGCTTATATGCCAATAAAAGTTTTTCCAAGATGGTGAGCATCCATCAAATGTTGCACTCCTGAAATAAAATGGATACGTATGTACAGATACTTGACTCTCATTAATGCTGCTTGTGATTCATATAACATTTTAAGCCTTTTAATGGTGTATCAGTTATTGTTTAATACTTTGAAAATTCTTTTTTCGACTTAATTTGTCACGCAGATTTTTAAAATCAATGTTTTGGCATCATAACATTTTATTTCTGTTGCGCTCCTCACATGGTATAAAAAAATTTCAGCATCAGTCGTGACCATAGTTTAGCTTGGTCAAGCAAAAGTTAGTACAGTCTTAATGAAGAGTTCAACATATTGAATTTTATCAGAAAAATCTTCATTTCCAACATACACCATTATTATTTATTTAACAGATCATCAAGAAATAAGAATTGACATTTTAAGCATCACTTTGGGCATATTTTTGTGTTTAAGATACCAATGAGATATTTGTCAGGCATTTAGCCAGTATCATAATACACACACTAAGCTACAGAATTTATTCATAGCCTGAAGTTTTAGTGCAGATTGATAATTATGTGTCCGGTCATTTGTTGAAATTCTCCCTTAAAATTTTTAATACAATATACTGTGGTGAAGCAATTATGACTTGTCTCATTGTGAACTTTTTTACTGTAGGTGCTGATATTACACATGGATAGCAGTGGTACTAATATGACAGGTGTCACAGAGCTGTTCTCAGATGACCTTGAACTTTATGGTTCCACCGTGGCTACATTGTACAAGAATCGTATGTTAATTGGCACAATTCTTCACAAAATGATGTACTGTGAAGTGAAAATATTATAAGGAAAGTTTTGTGGTTAAAATATCCACTCCATTTTAGTTTGTGTACTTCATGAAATATATGTTAATATATATTTGTCCATGATTGTTAAACTACACTGAATGATTGAATGTTAAATACTTAACGATTCTCCTTCAAAAGTTTTCAAATAAAAAGTGAAAATGTAAGAATGCATACTACTAAGAGAAAATGAAAATAGAAAGAAAATCATTGTTCCTCTGTATGGATTTTTCATACTTTTATATTTTGTGTGTTTGTGTGAGGGTGTGTATGTGTGTACCTAGCAATATTATTTTGTAATCAATAAAAAATCTTAATTTATTTAACTGTACTTGTTATGGTTAATAAACAGTAATTATGAGGAAGCTTGGTACTTTTCGATTCAATGAAGAGTAGAAATAGGACATATAAAGTGAAGACCAGGAAAGGATTATCATTGGGTGTTCACACAAAGTATTTAGTATTGGGGAAGATACCCCATCCTTGACCCTTTTTGTATATACAATTTGCCAAATTATCTTGTCTTATAATTTTGCCTTTATTCTTATCACAATACTATGTTTAGGACTTTTTATATTGTATTGTTTAGGATTGTGGCATTTTTGGAATGTTAAACTAGTCACAATTCCTTTTCATGAATTATGGGTATGTGTTTTTAGTTGATTGTATTTTTAACTGTTTCATTTGGGGGGGGGGGGGGGGGAGGTGATCAAACTTTGTCATTCCTTAGTTAAATAAATGACCATTCTTATTCATTAAACAATGTGTTGTGTTGTATTGTGTCAAACCGAGCAACACCCTATCAGCTATACATAGATTTTCACTGTGCAATATATTGTTTTGAATTAAAATAAAGAGATATCCAACTTGAGCAGAACTGAAAAACAGAAGAAAATGTAATGATTTAGCTAGAAATTCAATGTTTTATAACTGAATATGGAATGAATTTCACTCTACGACATGGATTTTGAATATTTTTATGCTCTGCATTTTAAAAAAAGTCCCACTTGAGAAACAAATTTTTATCCAACTACAAAACATTCAATATCATTAATTTTGTATATTTTTATTATTTGAAAGCTTTTATATCACGAAGAAGGGGTATATGAATATTTATTGTTCTTGAGAATATAAATAGTCATTCACCTGTACAAGCTCTTCCAATACACAATTGTAATAATGAGCCTTAATACGTGTATTTTGAGTTCGATCTGGACTACAGTACCTGTAGGAAAGAAAGTCAGATTTTAGAAAAAGTACACTATCACTGAAATTTTACATTACTTAGAAAAACAAAATTGTTCAAATTTTAGAGACACTACACTGATATAAATATAGATGTTTTTAATGGCATTTAATATTGTTATACCTTTAAAAATTGTTCCCTATATAATCCGTTACTAAAAAAAGTCTAACATTTCCAATGTTTTACTGAGCGGTCATAAAAAATCGATGTTTGACCGCAGAGCGAGATATTGGACCTGTGGATGAGATGTTGGACCGCTTACGTCACAGTGTGGGACGGGTCAGCTGTATCTTATTTGCATTCGTTGGAGTTCGACATAACTTAATTGACCAATTTTAAACCGCAGTGCGGGTAAACAAAATTTACATCATGTTATGTCAAAATAAAAAGTAAAAGGTATAACAAAACATTTATTGACTGTGTTCTCGGGCAATATGCGTTTTGTCGACCCCTCGAAACAAACTGTTTGCCTTTGGCCTAACGGCCTCAGGCAAACAGTTTGGTTCTTGGGTCCGACAAAACGCATGTTGCCCTCGAACCCAGTCAATAAATGTATATTATTTCCTCTCCTGCAAGTCTATGGACGAATTCAAGATATCCCAAGTCAATTTTATTTACTTTGCTCATCGTGGTTAATTTAATGCAAAGAAGAAGAAAACAAACCTTTAATGTATTGCAGTAACAAGATGCCCTTTCACGTATTTCACTATTTCGTCATGGATATCCCTTGAATTGGGTTGTCATAACTCTCATTGATACATCACCTTAGCTTGTTGTTAGTCAGCCCCCGGGCTGACTAGTTACGGTGGGATGAAACTGCAAATGCGCTTGCGTAATTTGGAATTCTGGGAAAAAGATGTACACGACTTGTTCTAAAGAAACTCGTGCTATTTGCTCCAACCAAAGGGCGTGATTCTTCACAAACACCTTCTAAACAAAGACGCGACCTCGATCTATTTATAGACTGTATTGTTCTTCGTCGTTCTGGACGAAAAATTAAAGAAGAGATCGTTCTAAGTGGGAAATATGATACTATGAAAATATTTCAGTGCTTCTTATAGAAGATGAGAAGTTTATATGCAGAGCACATTTAATACTTGATATATATACCCAGAAAAAGTCAATCGCCGTTGCAAGTTCACGGATTTGTGTGTATTCCTCTGAATGCCTGATGCAAGACTCCCTCGATCAATACCTTGCATAAGACATGTACGCGTCGGAATTCACACAATAATCCACTTGCACAAAGGTCCCAAAACAGTGAAAAAAAGAATCTCTTTGTTATGAAAACGTCAGAAGGTCACTTAAGATGTGTAAAGTCTTATAATTTACACGATGATAGACATGTAAGTGCCGCTTGTGCAGGTGAACCGCGCCCACAGGTGAGAAAGTGACCACAGTAGAACTTGAGAGTTGAGAGAAACTGCGCGGATTTATAGACAGCCCCCCCCCCCCCATTAGAGAGAGTGAGCGAGATGGAATCCAGTATCATTTTAGGGAATACATACTGTATGTATAAAATATTTTGAATTTCCAGTTTATTACTTTATTTTGGAAGCAATTCTTTTCTTTCCTAGTAACACTAAAATGAATGCTTAAATTTAGAAATTGAATTAAATATACATGTACATACAGTATGCACCCCTCCCCCTTCCCCTATCATGCATTGCCTCGAACATGCACGATTAAAAACTTTTATATAACAATAATTAACACTATCTAACCCAATGTCTCCTTCCTTTTAAACATCATAATCTATATCATTTATAAAATTTAACAGTAAAATTGAAAATGTATACATTCTTCAACGTTCAATGATTGAGATCATAGTGGCTTTGTTCATTTCTGAGACGAACTTTATCTCATGGCTGTAGGAACCGGGGGGGGGGAGCCGTGCCCCCCCCCCCCAAATAATTTTTCCGATTTATAGACTACTATATAAAACAAAGCAACTATATGCTTGTGCCCCCTCAATAAAAACGTCTGATGACCTTTTTTTTTTTTTATTAATTAATTAATTTTTTTTCTGCTTGTCAAGGAATTTTTGGTAGTTAATAGTGCCCCTCCAACTGAAAATGTATGGCTGTGCCCCCCTCCCCAAACTGATTTTATTGCTTTATATCTGATGTCCGCGCCCAAGAGAGATTAATTGGAGGTCATCATAAAGATCACGATGTAGTCTAACTAAAATTTATTCTATGCTTTATTATTTATTATGTACAGCATTATGTTACAAATAAGAAAACGACTGGGCGAATTTTAACTTAGACGACAATGACTTTTAATGAACACAACATGATGGATAAAACAAATGATATACCATCACAAAACAAGAAGGAAACATTCTGTATTCCAGTGGCTGACTCTCAGCTTTTTTTAAAAAGCTAACCTTGTGTTTTCTTTGTTTAGATAGCAGTCCAAATTAGCATTCAAATATATGTGTGTCATTTCCGGGAAGATAACTCTGCACTTTACAGTAAAACGTGTTTAATTTCTAAACGCGTTTAGATATAAAACATGTTAAGACATAAGTGTTTAGTTGTTAAACACAATACTATACACGTTTAGATCTAAACATGTAATAGAAGTGTTTATTTGCTCAACACAATTTTTACAGTGTGGATACGTCACCGTATGCCAGTGAAGGGTTTCAAATTTAAACCTATATTCGGCACTCAGGGCCATTGAGCAATGAAGGTTCTTTATCGTGCCAACGTCTACCATGACACGGGACGTCGGTTTTTAAGGTCTCATCCAAAAGACACGTGACTTTCGCTTCTAGTGCCCGGCGCTTAGCGAAGAAACAGTTACTTTCTATGTTTACGTCTTAGGTTTGACGGGGCGCGGCGAACGAGAATCGAACCCGGGCCTCCAGATCACGAAGCGAGCGTCCTACCAATTTAGCAACCGTGACCGGTGTTAGTTTAAAGAAGAGGAAGAGCAAGAACACTTAAAGCGACAGTACGGCTGCAAAATATGTGCTTTTTCATTCAAATTTACCCAATATGTCACTAAGAAATAAGGTATAAAGTTGTTGTAAGCAGTTTGAGAAACAGAAATATTCTCTACTCAAACAAAATTAACGTAATTAGAATCTGCCGGAAAATCAAGGGTCGTACGAACTGAAGCAATCTTAGATCTGTTTATTAGTACCACGTGAATTCTAAAATGACACGTGCCTACACTGTATAGTTTACAATTATAATGAATATTAGGTAAAAGCAATTTTCAAAAGCAAATTATCATAACTTTCTGATAAAATAATCTAAAATAATAATTGTAAAGATTTTAGACTGCTTTCAGGCGAATTTAACAGAATTAAAAGTACAAATGTTGACGTTTTGTGTATTGGGGTCCGAGAAAGGAAAAACAAACTAATCATACGTTATCGCGGCAAATGTCAAACAAAATATTTTTCTGCACAGTTAAAAAAAATTAGCACTTCAAATGGCAACAATGTTTATAAGTCAAAGGTGTATTTTTATGTTGAGTTTACACTAATTTTTTTCATTGAAAGCGATGGAAAAGTGAGAAATGATAACAAGTATCAACAAACCTGTCGAATAGAACCTTCGAGAGCCCTGCACGAGTGTCGCCGAGTTCCCGTTTCTTCCTTTTCCAGCGATTATATTAATCTCCAAACTAAATTTTAGTCAGGAAAGTTGCTTTTTCAAGTTCTTTTTTCAGTTTCTTTTTCTTTTTGGTCGACTTTGTCAATGTAGCAGGCCTACCGGGCTTCCCTCTCTAACCATGCTGTTTTGTTTATGAAAACTACGCATGCGTGCATAGCATGGAATGTGGAACACCGAACACGTTGCGATGTATATATTTACGTCCCATAAATAACTATTAATTTTAACAAAATAATCTAAATTATTTAATTGTGACAGTTGTAATTTTCTGAAAGTTTATACATTTATGAGCAGTAAAAAAATACCAAATCTTGTCGGAAAATTTTATCAAGTCAGTTTTTTGATGAGATGCGCCGTACTGTCACTTTAAGAGGATTTTGTTTAAATGCTCAATATATTGCAAGGTTTGTTTATAATTTAAAAGCAACAGTTTATCTGTAAAC